ATATTTTAAATAAAGCACTGTTCTTTTGCAAAAACAATAGATAATTATAAGCTTTTTTAGCAATGTATGCTAGGACCCCAGGAGTATCTTTTATTTCTTTGTTTTGTTACACTCCCTTTGGAGTTGTTTCTGGGCCTATATTATTGGACAAAGAAAAAGAAAAAGAAAAAGAAAAAGAAAAAGAAAAGAAAGAGGCAAGACTTAAAAGATGCGATTGGAGTTCCTGCCTATTTGTCGTAAAAATGAAATCAGGTAATCACTCTATAAGGTTGCTATGTAGAAATTAGTCAGTACTTTATGAATTTTATTTTTTTAGGATAAAAATATCATGAATTATAGTTAAGATTTTAAGTTTAAATTTTATGACAAAATAAGTATTGGCTAATCTCTAAATAGCATTATTGAGAATACTATTTGTGCACTTGCCCCTATTTGTTCCAATTCTTATTGAATCATTCAAGTGGAGGGTCTAAATCTCATTAAAGATTATCCATTCTCCTTCCTATTTACAGGCCCCCACCTTAGAAAAGGCTTTTAATTTAAGGAGAAAAAGAAAGAAGAAAACGAGAAGATAAGATTTTTTTAAATTATTCGGTATTATGTTTATTGGTTTAATTCATTTGAATTCACTCCTATAAGTCATTTTGAGAAGTAAAATGCTCACATATTGATAAATTCTTTATTACTAAATTTGAACCTGAAACGTTTAATTAAAAATAAAGTAATCTCAATCATCACATTATATATGACACTGTGATAGAAGATAAAACTTAAAGAAAGAGGGAATGCATGGAATTAGGGGCAATGCTCCAAAAAAGTATAACCCGAAATTTAAGAAGCTTACTCACGTGGGAATGCCCATTTGTTTTGGACAAACTTGTTTGTGACAACTCTCACCATTTCTTGGCTCTTCTCCACTCTGTCGGTTCTCTCCTTTTCGATAGTTACAAAACCTCTCTTCTATTCCCTCTTTTAATGCTTTAGCAGTACAAGAATCTCACTCTCTGTTCACCTTTCTTATTATTTGTTAGCTCTTCTTTCACAAAATAGCAGGGGCCATTCGTCAAACATCCCATAATAATTGAACGCCCCCTTGTTCTTATAATCTACATTATTAAATTCTTGATTCTTTCACACCTAGGTGAGGGTGACCTTTCTCTCATTTCTTTATTCTTTTTTCTGTTTTCCTCTCTGGGATTTAAAAATTGTTTCAGATATCACTACCAGCAATACCTTTTGTTCACACTCTGTAACCAAAGATTCACACTATTCAGCTGCTTTACTGAAGCTTTGAGCACCAGAACAAAAGTTGATTTCAAATAGAGATAAAAAAGCTCAACTCTCTGCATTAGTTTAAAGGGTAAGCTTCATTTAATACATTTGCTCTAAAAGTTGAAACTTTTTTGTGCTTTTGCTGCTTCCCTTTCTCCCTTCCTCTTTAGGATGCACTTTTTCCTTTTTAACTTTTTATATAGAGGTACATAAGTGGCAATTGGAATAACCAACTTTCTTCCTGATTGGTTCTTTTTACCTCTTGTTCTGAACTTCTGAGGGCGGGAGAGTACCGTTAATGAAATATAGGGGGATTGAAAATCGACTTCTCTGTAAAGTTTTGTCGAGTTTGTTCCATTACTGGCAGTATTTGGCCTTTACAACTCTTCCAGTGGTCCTGACTTTTGAAGTGACCTATTGATTAATTGCCACAGACTACAAAAAATTGACCACAATTTCAAGATATATCTTTTTTTTTGTTAAGAAAAGACTATCTTTATGTTGTTCAAGACAACTTTACTTTTCCTGAGTAGGCAAAATGAATGTGGTGGCTATGCCTTAATGTGAGAATAAGGAACTGAAACTAGTTCAGATTTATGGTTTCTAATTTCTTGCGCACTTGGATAGGATCATTGTTTACAAGATTCAACCAGGGGAACAAGAATGTGACTTGCATTTTGCCACTGTTGAAAATCATGAAGAAGAACTCTACTTTGTTGAGGAATTCGGGTTTATATACAAGCCCACCAACACCAGAATATGGAGATAATCAGAAAGGGTGGAGCTCGGAACGAGCCCCATTGCCGACTCACAGCAGCAGGAGGCATATTAGTGCCACTGCATTGATGCCTTTCAATAGTGGAAGGACAGTGCCTTCAAAATGGGATGATGCTGAAAGATGGATTACTAGCCCAGTGTCTAGTTATGGGTTTGGAAGACTTCAACCGCGCAAATCCACAGGCGCCCCAAGTCGAAAAGTGGACCTCTTGGGGCTCCTGGCCTTATGTACTTACCAAATTATTCACCCTCCGTGCCGGTCCTAGAAGGTGGAACTTTAAGTAACTATATTGCAAATTCACCATTTACAACAGGTGTGCTAGTGCCTGGTGGTGTATCCCTTCATTATGGTGCTGGTGCAAATCCTGGTGCTCTATATGCTGAGAATAGTATGGCTCGAACAACTAGTGTTCCCAGTCTGTCAGATTTGTGCAGTGAATCTTCGGTGCCAAGCTCCCAAGGTATGCATTTTATCCCAATTGCAGAAATATGTTCTAACATAGAGTAGAATTGAACGGGAGCCTTGGAGCAACGGTAAAGTTGTCCCGTGTGACCTATAGGTCACGGGTTCGAGCCGTGGAAGCAGCCACTAATGCTTGCATTAGGGTACGTTGTCTACATCACACCTCTTGGGATGCGGCCCTTCCCGGACCCTGCGACCCTACGTGAACGTGGGATACCTTCTGTACCGGACTGCCCTTTATAACGTAGAATTGAACATGAAAGAGATTCATTGGCAAAAATTCCTGCTTTATACTGATTATCATTTGCCCCTTCCCTTTTATCTTTCCTCTTTCCTGAGCCGAGGGTCTACCGGAAACAGCCTCTCTAAAAGGTAGAAGTAAATTTTGCGTACACATTACACTCCCAAAACCCCACTCGTGGGAATATACTGGGTTTGTTGTTGTTATTGTATATTGATTATCATAGCACAATTCTTCTACATTAGCCTATGCAAAGTGGATGCATATGAAATGACTGAGTATCATTTGAGGCATTTTGCCAGGAGAAGAAAAAGAGATACATGCATCTGTGGTATGACATAATTAAACCTTTTCATTTGCCGAATGTTCGTTATTATCCAATAGATTTAGAAATACTTTCCTAAGTTTTTTCCATTATTCTATTTTCAACTCTTGAATCTTGATTCTTATCACATAGCATTGGCAATAGTTTTTTTTAATGACGGTGGTTCCATCAGGTGTCTGCTACCTCTCACCCGTACATGTAGCATTAGCAATAGTATTCCTAACTTTTGGAGAAATTCTTAGAACCTTTTGACATTAATCAAGCTTCTTAACTACTTTCGAAGTTCCTTCCTGATTCCAGCCCTTGTTTGAGGCTTCTTAAACATTATCAGGTTGACAAGCAAAAGGTTAATTATAGAACATATTGTGAAATCAATGAGACATGAGGTGTTGGAAGAAAAATTTGTCTTTAGAAAAGTACATCACTATAAATTAATGATTTTTTATTGCTGATGAATCCTATGGCCAGATGATGGGACCAAGGAGCCAGATTCTGTTAGCTGCGTAGTTTCAAGGAGAGACATGGCAACACAGATGAGCCCTGATAGCAGTACCCATGCCTCTCCCAAAGAAAGGTCATCTGGAGTGGAGCAGAACAAGCAGCATTCTGCTAAAGTCGAGATTAGGGATGTGCAGGTGGACAAAGGAGCCCCCATTTCCGGGCACTCTCAGAAAAGCCGGGTGAGGAAACCGAGTAAAGAAACACCAGATGTGACTGGCTCAATTTCACCCTGGGATGTTGCTAATGCAGCAGAGAACATGTCAAAGTATGCCACTATGCCATTCATTTCAAGTTTTTGTTTTTGCTTCTTATGCTTTGCAAGGGCATCTGTTATCCTCATTTTCAAGTGAACCTGTATGCTTATGCCCTTAACGCCTACTTCTCCACAAGTTTGTAGAAACTATTTAGACAAGTAGCAGCAATACTTAGCCTTCACAACACTGGTAATGGTGGTAAGATAGATGGACATTCTTTGGGGAATATGTATGTCACTAAGCAACAAATATTTACTATGGTATAGGTTTATTTATCAAGGGGAGAGAATTACTATTTAAGGGATAACGGTTGTCTTTCCTCATTTTGTGAAGGTCACAAAGAGAGGAAGCAAGGATTACTGCTTGGGAGAACTTGCAGACGGCTAAAGCGGAAGCAGCAATCCAAAAGCTTGAGGTCCGTTGGACATAAAGATTGATATCTGAGTACATCTAATGATTAGTATACATATCTATCCTCTTAAAGAATAGGACAAGCATCAAAGGGCTTAACTATTGTTTGCATTTCAGATGAAACTAGAAAAGAGGAGGTCAGCATCCATGGATAAGATTCTGAACAAGCTTAGATATGCTCAGTTGAAGGCCCAAGATATGAGACGTGCAATCTCAGAAAGTCACTCTCATCAGCCTCGAAGGAATTCCCAGAGAATCATTCCGTTTCGGAACTATTTTCAGATTGCCTCATTTAGCAGTTGCTATGTTTGCCGTATCCGTTAGGTTCTCGTCAGAGCTTAGAGTTGGAGCGTCTTTTATTATTGTTGATCAAAGGAAGCAACTATTTAATCCAGTTTCTGACCTACCTATTCGCTGCGTAATTCAAGCCTTGCCACCATCTGTGACTGAATTCTGTACAGCTGATTTCTGTGGTCCAAAACCTTTACTCAAGAAAAAACTGGAAAATTTTCACTGTAAAATCCTACTCAACAAAAAGTAGAAATCATCTATCCGAGGCAGCGAGCAATTAAATACTACTTGCAATAACCAATTTGCTAACTTAATCATGGGGAAAGCATGGGAAAATAGACTCCCAAAACACGAATCATGTCCACGACCACTCAGTCTCTCAGACGATTTCACAAATACTCCAGCTGTAATAATGTAAAATATTACCCCAATTGATTATGTTGCTTAACTATTTTAATACTTTCGGATATGAAAAAAACAAAACAATTCTCATCTCCGTTTCTATTGCACTTCCAATTCAATGGGTCGAGCAGGAAGTGAATTACACAATCCATCAATACAGATCCTTGATTCAAATCAAGGAAATACCAGTAGCACATATATCATAATGTCGCATAATAAGCTGAGTCAAATATGACATAGTATATAAGTTGACACCCAACACCTATCATTTAGAAATTCAGACAGCTTCCAACTTCATGCCACACAAGCTACTGGGCACACCCGCTAGTAGGGCCTGTATCTCATATCTGCTCTTGAAGGTCTCCCTCCACCCAGGCCGTAACCCCACTGTCGAAAACAGAGAAGTCACATATGTAAAGGTTATATCATCAGAATTATCATCTGTTGAATTAAGGACAACCGAGAAATAGACAAGTCATAAGCCTAAGGTTGAGTATATCTGTTATCAGTAGTTATGCTATACATGTGAAACAAACCTAAAAAAAATCAAAGAGGTATGAACAAATAATCAAATAAACTACGCCTAAAGTAAAAATCATTGCACCAAAGCAATAGAAAGATGCAGTCAACAGGAGAGAGAGATCTCTTTCATTCACAAGAAAAGCATGACGTTGCATTGTCATATCCAGGTCAAACAGATAAGCGGAACAAATTTCACCAACGGGATTGTTTCCAGGCAGACCAGCTGAAAGATGCAGGACAAATGCCCAGTAATTGACCATTTCTTGGAAGGGGGAGGGAGGGTTGAAAAATTAAAATCACCCGGATGAAAAAGGATGTGATTAGATAATGTTAACAATGAGAAAGCAATTATATCACGGATGTAATAAGCTGAAGATAACAGACAGAAGTTTATCAAAGTAAGGTTCAAATACTTACATCATCATAGTCTAGGCCCCCATACATCCTACCATAGGAACGCATAGGACCACCATATCCCCCATACGGTTCAGGAGGAGGAGGAGGAGGAGGATCCATCATGTACTGACTACTTGGACCAGCATCATCAAGGGGAGTGGCAGAATCTATTGCAACCTAAAAAGCAAGGTAGAACTAGGAATAAGGATCCTCATAGCGAAACAGAAAAATCATTTATATTAGTGAGAAGCCAAAAGGGATACCCCAAGCAACTTCTAGGAGGATAAAAAAATTCAATAGGTAAATGTTCAAACTCCCCAAAAGGCTAACTTCACATCAATGTATGTTATAGGTGTTGCAAAAAAAGCAGTTACAACTTTATCGTCTTTAAGAACAATCTTTTCGTGCTACTCGCGTTGCAGAACATCCCAAGTAATGGCCAGGTCAGAGTTAAGGTACTTTACACCAATATATGTTTTAAGTTTTGCCAAAAAAAAAAATCTTCCAGTGCCCTCCTTCTGTCGCAGGACATCCTAGGTAACGGCCAGGGAATTTTAAGATATCCCACACCAAGTGTGCTCAGCAGACAGGAATTTCCCCCACATCTGGTCCTCCGTTCTTGGTTATCCATGATGATCTAGTTAATTTATTCCCTTCTATAATTCTTTGGGGAAGAAGGGGTCTCCTCACCATGGTCTCATACAAAACTTGATCAACTGATAGTTCAGTGTACAGTTTTCTTGGGGTATTGAGTTAGAAAAATAAAGGTAGATCTTGGAATTCCAACAAATACCTGCTGTCCACATATCTCGTGAGGCCTCCGAGAAACACGATCTGCGACACCATCGTCAGCAAATGTGACAAAACCAAACCCTCTGTGTCCTGGTCTCTTGGGATCCTACACCAAATAAGCATTCTCATTTTAACAGAAATAAGCAATTACTAAGTTATATAAGACAAGATCTGTTATCAGAAGGCGATAAAATAAAAGAGCTCTTACCTTTGGAACATAAACATCTAAANAAAAGAGTTCTTACCTTTGGAACATAAACATCTAAAATACGGCCAAATCTACCAAAATACTGGCGAAGATCTTCAGCTGTTGCCTCTTGAGGTAGTCGACCAACAAAGATCTTCTTGCCCATGCCACGAGAAGGATATCCTCCTCCTCCTGGTTTATTTAATTAAGTTTCTTTTAGTATATGAATTATGTTAAATGCGAGGCATGATTTCATAATGTTGCAGGATGTTGTATCATGTTAAAGATAAATTTTTCATTATTTACTTACGTCCATACATAGAGCCTGGATGATCATATAATGTGGGAGCACCAAGCGCAGCATATCTAGTTGCACTAATATATGCATTATATGCACCATATCCTCCTCCACCCTGAGGCATCCGACTAACAGGTCTGGAATCTTCTTCCTGGAATCATCAGCAGAAAATGTAAAGGTTAATGAATCATCAGAAGCAAATGTGTAAGTTCAATGACATGTCCTTGAACAGCAGATACATCAAAGTTTGGTTATGCAGAGCTTGCCTTGGGCGTTGCTCGGTCGACCACAATTGTGGAACCTCCCAGTTCGTGTGTGTCACCCATCAGATCATCAACTGATTCTGGGCAAAGAAACCAAGAGTGACTCAATTTAAAGGAAAAGAAGACAAGATAAGCATGCATGTTGGAGACTGGCCCTGTCTTCCCTGGGTACATAAATAAAAACAAGGTGGTAGCTACCACATCCCTACAGCAATTAACAAAACTGAAGTAGGCAGAATTCTTAGGGACGAAGCACAATTACAGGACCATTAAAAGGTGTTAAGATGCATATGCAGCTCAAAATACCTAGAATATATAACTAGACTGCCAGCAAGAACAGTTGCGAATTACGAAATTGACAGAAAAAAACTAGAGGACGAATCAAGGCTGAGATTAAATCAGAACCTCTGTCGAGCAACAATAAAAAACTCTTCAAATGTCATCAAATTACTTCCGGTCATTCCCAGATCAGGTTTAGAAGTAAGCACCTCGAAAGGAAATATATCCAAGTGTAGAATTAAAGAGAAAGGTGTTGTTCCCAGATCGTTTTTCGTTTTCCTGTTTGGGTGACAGGTTAAAACTTATATTTTATGCTAACTACTGAGCTATTTACTCCAAAAATGAGGGAATTATCAACCACTTATATCTAAAAGCAAAATGCACTTTCCTATAGTGAAGCTGGTGAATTTTCTAGGAGTACTGAATGAATGCAGAAAGGGAAGAAAATCTTCATATCTACAGTAATTACTAGAATTTATACCGAATCAAGGTAAATTGTTGATCCAGTTTTAAGGAATTAACTGCACTAAAGTGATTACATCCTGGAAGCACTGCAGACAGATTTAGACAAATGCAGGTCTCAGTCACTGCCTCTCATACTAGAGAGAAGAAAAGATGTATCTGCAACTAAGAACACTTCATGTTTCTCCTCCCTGAAATATAAGAACAGTGTCTAAACAAATCTACATATAAAGCATAGAAATGGGTACAAGAAATTCTCACAGATACAGTTCGTATTGAAAACAGAGTTCCTATCAGATACAATTCCTGCCAAATAAGTTACCTATTTTTTTAAAAATTGTTCCTAAAAACAGCTCGATGTTAAGCCGAGGAATAACTAAAGTTGGCCAAGGCACCTGGATAATAGAGAAAAGGTAACAGCAAAAAAAGAAAAACAAAGATGGGACACATACCAGCATTTGCAAAAGTAATAAACCCAATTCCACGATGTCCCTTTGTAGTTGGATCCTGCAGATTGGGAATAGATTAGTTAATTCATGAATCCTGTAATTTAGAGTCAGAACAAGATACCTCAAAATATGTTCTAATAATGAGGTCACAGAGAGATATATGAACCTTTGGCATGTATAGATCCGTTATTTCACCGTACTTCTCAAAATAACTGCAAAAGAAATTCAAATAAGGATATTAAGTTCTAATAGTGAAACAACCGACCAGCTAGAAACAATCTTAATTAAGCAATTCTTCACAAATACCTTCTGAAAGTAGCTTCAGACACCGACGGTGGAATTCTAGCAACAAAAACCCGGGTAACTTTCTTTGCAGGATGCCTCATCTCCTCCTGCAAAAAGAATGAGTAGCATCTGTATTAGACCTTAACTAAGACCTTTAGAGGCAAAATGGCTAGAAAAATAGGACTTTACTTGATGAAAATCATGGTTCTTTCCAAATTAAATTGCAACAAAGAAAGAGAATATGTTTTAAAAAAAAGATTTAGACAGCAATAATAAAAGTTAAATGCAAATTCTAAAAAATAAAAATGATAGAATCCATAAGGAATGCTGGATACTGGATTATAAAATCTTTTAAACACATACCATCATAAACTCCAAAGCCAAGTATCAAGCTAAATAATCAAGAAACAATGCGTTTAAGAGCAAGCATATAATGACTAATGAACTTGGCAGACATCCTGGGAGAACTAAAGTTTAAAACATCTGTCGAACAAATAACTGGACAGTAAAGACAATGAAGAGGACAATAACTTTAGGAGAGCAATGTTACTACAAATATTTTGGGCAAGAATCCCTAGAAAAATAACCAAAAAACAAAGGGGAAAAGAAAGTGAAATAGAAACATTTCATATGCAGAACACAACTCATTCCAATCATCCAATGCTCATGTTCAACCAAATAAAGAGATCAATAATAAGATGTTGTCAACCATTCCATTCTAATCAAACATTGTCACAAAAGTGTAAAAAAAGTGCACCTTTGGTGTCGCCACTTTCACTTCCAGCATTCTGTTTCCAAGGAAGTGCTCCTTAGACAATGCATTCTACATCATAATAACACAAAAATACGAATATCATGACAAGAAAATACAATGAGAAAAGTTAGCATCAAAACCACAAGGCACAAGACGGTAACATGTAAACAGAAGGTTTTACTCAAGAGCGGTAAATAAATATGCTCGCGAGAATGGCATGAAAATCAACAAATAAAACCAAGTATCACCTTAGCATCTTCAACTGTAGCAAATGTTACATATCCGAATCCACGAGAACGACCAGTAGCACGCTCCTAGTTGAAACTATACACATTAGTCTTCTTCATATTAAGATGCTAAGAAACTTTGCGCACAAAAAAGAGACATTGACTGTCAGAAGCACTATAATGCAAACATACTATAACTAAATAAACAACACAACACACTTCTGGGAAGTTAGTAAATTAGTAAAAGAGATCAATCTCCAGAGACAAGTGGACCTCCCATCACTAAAGTTTGCACACAATTTTTGGAAAGCAATGGCAACTTATTGTGGTCTCTTAACCCC